GTTCTCCCCAAGCGAGCTCGATGGGCCGAATGGCCTCCTCTCGTTTGTATAGTTCTTATGTTCTTATGAGGGGAAACCCAAAAATGTGCAGGGCTCCGCCCCCCCAGGACTGGAGTCTGACACTTCTGCACTAACTGAATACATATATTTAGACAGTAAAAATACATTTAGACAATGACAGTAACAGTAATTATTATTGTATAATAAAATACATTTAAAAATAAAGATTTCTTATTCATTATTTTAATATGAATAAATAATAATAATAATAATAATAAACCATTAATACGTTTAATTATAATAATATTATCGTGCCGAGCGGGGACGGAACCAAGACAAAGGCGCAGACGTCAGGGTATCGGGGAATACGGGGTTTAATTACAGGTAAGGCAGGCAAAACGCAGACGGACAATACAATGACCGGACTGGAGAAACAAACTGAAACACGAACGAAATACAGAGGACTAATGACAACAACCAGAAACAGTTGATCACAAAGAGAATCCACACGGGGTTAACGAGGGGGCGTGGCACACGGAAGGAGCGGACAATCGGGTTCTCACTTGGAAAAGAGGATATGGACAGCAGGTAGAGAAGGTAACGAAGAGGCGTCGGGTGGCCTGGGTTGTAGCAATGAGACGGAAAGAGATCACATTCAACACGATATCTCCCTTCATGCGTTTTTGCTCTCGGCATTTTCATAAAGGCAAGTAAGATGTTTTTTGTTTAAGTAGTATTAATGAATATGCATTTTTTTGTCTTCTAAAGTTGGTATTTTCACATTGGTTAACCTGCGCTAGCAAGCTAGCCTCACTACGGAGGGCAGCAGAAATTGGTTAATCTGTGTGTTAAACTAGCGTTACAGAGTGAGTGCTTTAAAAAGACAAAAGTAAACAGCAAAACTGTAATGACACATTTATCAGTGCATGTATGTGTATATTCGCGTGCTTGGACTATAAGCTACAATGCTGGATAAGGCTGTCACTGTGTGCTGTACCCTGACAAACCAATGCCCAACTATAGTTTAAGTTTAGAAACATTTGCAAGTATGGTTTCTAATGTTTTACACGATGTCTGGAAGGATCTGTATAAAGTCATTGTATACCGAGCCTGTATTCTGCTTGCCACTTAGGCCTACATTTTATTTTAAATATGACCAATAAAGTTATGTCCATGCAATGACATTTTTGTGGTGTTCTTGACTCTCTTCCTTTGAGACAGCGCAGACACTGAGCGACTGAAAAGCTGGTGGTGTGCTTGGGTAGTCCCTTTTGCCCCATTTTTGGCCGAGTGGTAAAGGCGATGGACTAGAAATACATCGGGGTCTCCCTGTGCAGGTTTGAGACCTGCCGACTTCGAGGGTGAACCAAACCCAGTGGGGCAGGTTAAAACCCCCATGCTAAGCAGTCTGTAGGCAATCTCTGACAGTGGATGCTGCATGGACAAGATGGCAGGGTGCTGCCTTTTGTGAGGCACCGTTGCTTGCAAATGAAAGCATTTTCTTTCATCCCCTGCTATACCAAAAGCAAGCAGCACACTCCCCATCAGAGAATCAAACCCCAATCTCCCAAAACACAGCTGGGGAGACTCACCACTGTACTATCAGACAGACAGGGTGAGTCTGCTCACCCCTGTGAGTCCCACACCTCTATTATTACGGCCAGCTTCCCTCCCTCTCGGTATCTCCTTATGGCTTCCCTGTGGCGCATCAAAGTGCCTTTGGCTGTAGTCAGGATGGCCGAGCAGTCCAAGGCACAGTGTGCAGGTCACAGTCTCTCCTGGAGGCGTGGGTTCGAATCCCACTTCTGACATTTCTTTAGCCCTTGGAAGTGAAACGGCAACTGCCATCTCTGCTTTGAAAAATCATTCAGTGACGCTGAACATCCTGTCCCAGTGACTGAAAAGTTAGTGGTGTGCTTAGGTAGTCGTGGCCGAGTGGTTGTGGCGATGGGTTAGTAATCCTGCCGACTATGAACGTGAACTAACCCCAAGCTGGGGGTGGGGCAGGTATAGAACCCTGTGGCAAGGCAATGTTGCTTGCAAAGCATTTTATTTCAGCCTGGGGGAGGCTGGGGGGCTTCCCACCACTCTACTAACAAAGGTATAGGAAAATGCCATGTTGACTCTTTTGCCATTTCTTGACCCTCTTCCTCCCCTCCTCACCCTCTTCATCTCTCTATCTATCTTTAAGGTAAAATAGTGAAGTACTTTGATATGCCTTTTGAGTACATGCAGCGCCCAGAGGTCTGTTAACCTCCCCGGAGGTCTGTTCAGGTTTAAGTACTTTATGTACGTTCTAGTGTCCACGTCTATCTGAGTGGCGAGAACAGCTGCAAATTTGTTTCTGTGTGCAGGACCCAGTTGATTGAGCCTTAATTCAATACACCAAGGGCAGACAGAGATCATACACGTGGGTAGACATATGCAGCCCAGATCCAAAACCCAGTCCTCATCCTGGGCAGGGCTGAGGCAGCAGCGTTGGTCCCAGTCCTCCTCCTGGGCAGGGCTGAGGCAGCACCGTTAGTCCCAGTCCTCCTCCTGGGCAGGGCTGAGGCAGCAGCGTTGCTGGCCGAGTCCTTTGGAGACACACTTGTTTTGTACTCGAGCCTGAACCTGAAAGAAACATGCCAATGTAATGAAATCAGAAATGAATGGTGAAAGCTAAACAGAACACACCCATGCTCACAGCACCAGTGATTCCTTTTGACCAGTCCTGATCCATGCTGTTTGAATTAAATTTAGTTTCTCTGTATGCTAAT